TATCTTTCCTTCCAAGTTCCAAGTGGAAATATATATCGTATAGTAAATGTGATCATTAAATTTATTTTGGAAAAGGTAGAGTTTGGGTGGGCGTACTTTGATTATTTCATTTGAGTCTGTTTGGAAAGTCACCCTATAATTGGAATTAGTGTAATTACTAGAGTAGTAATTACACAATTGCTTAATTATGACGACTTGTTTGTTTGTCATAGTGTCATTACAGTATAATTATAAGTTTATTATTTAGTTGCACAAGTGTAATTACATAGTTAGATTAAATTTTAAATTAAGTACTTATCAAAATTTAAAAGTAGATATAATAAATATATGCCTATAAATTTTTATAAGTGTAAATGACATTATATTTGGTATTTAAGATGTATATTTTTTTGTGAATATACATTAATTAGTAATCATATATTTATAACTAATATTGTAAAAATAATATATATATTAAATTAATAATATTTAGTTTAGATACTTGCAAAAACTAAACATATATGTTTTGTAAGAACATCATGAAATTTATGTTTGATAAAATAAATTAATATTCATAAATATAGTGTCATAACATTATTGAAATGTTTGACAAAACTAATCTATCAATTCCAACTAAAAAATGAACAACATACAATGTGAACCAATACTACTAAAACAAGTAAATTGGAACCATGAATATAACATAATTTCAAAATTCAAAAAAACAAATTAGTTTAACATACGTCAAATTCCAACATAATATTAGTAAGTCCCACTGCAACTTAAAATTAGGAAACATGACAAGTCTATAACCACATTCAATAACGAAATTTCACTTTAGTTTCATCACGCATTATATGTCAAGTTTGTTAATGACTCATTATTTCTAATATTAGGAGGTGTAGTTTCAAAAAATAGAATAATAAAATAAATAAAAAATAAAATATAAGCAATTACATGGAATCACAAGAAGTAAGGATAGAGAAATAAAAAATAAATAATGTACAAAGAAAAATATTTTTAAAAATTTCAAAAGAAATTAAAAAGTAAAAATAAAATTTAAAAATTAAAATAATAGAAATAAAAAGTTATAAAGAAAATAAATTAAAATAAAAACAAAAAGGAAAAAAACTAAAAAGCAACCTTGTAATTACACAGTGTCATTATCACCAATTCTCACCTCCCCCTTAAGAATTGAAGAGTGTAATTACACCCCTCCTATTACACCCAATTTCATGTTGATCAAGTAATTAGTTGGCCAAACAAACATGCCAAACAATGTAATTACATCCAATTACACTCAAATCCATTTCCAAGATGACTTTCATACAGGCTCTTAGAATTGTCACTAGCACAGAGTAGCTTAGTAGTTGGTAGACAAAGGATAAATGTGATTACACATTTACATGATTGATTGAAGTGTGACAAAACCGAAAAACTTGCTCAAGGTATTCAAAATAACCAACACCCATTATTTAATATTCGTTCTTTTCAGATTAATTTTCCAAAGCTGATTTATTGTCAAAATGATCAATTTGACTGTTATTTGAACAAACCCAACTATCGCCTGCAGATTTCGAAGATTAGAAGAATAAAGCAACTAAGTAGATACTCCATATAGCAATGATATATGTAAATGCCATATTCTTTTGAACTTCATCAAGCTTCATGTTTGTTCCATAGCATTTACAAATTTTCTTAGAAGCTAAGTGTTGAATATTAGCTGAAAATCCTCCCTATAAATGAAGTTGCAAAATCCTCTTTTCTTTCACACTGCTTCATAATTTTTTCCTCAACCTTTACGTTCAATCAACGAATTGGAATGACCAATAAGAGTTATGGTGGGATATATACCCCCTCCACCTTTAAACGTCTCGAAACATGGGCATGAAAAATCTTATAAGGGAGCGCTTCCTCCTTAAATAGCTCTTGCGTAGTGCGAATTTGAATTAGTCGGACCCACCACGAATACAGGCCCCACTATGTTTCAGTCGTACTATACTTCACCAGGTAAATTCTTTACCACACAGCCGGTAACTATTACTACTATTATGGTAGAAAATTGTATGCACTATTCACATGGTTACCCGTTAGCCATGGTTAGTTTAGAGAACGTAAACACACTAGTTAGACACAGAAGTGCAGTATTAAAATTAATAATAACAACATTCCTTTTAGAAACTGAAATGAAAGATTCGTCCCACATCGCTATAAACAAAAACTTTTAGTTCTTTTTAAGTATGAGAACCGAGCTCAATGATGAGGGCTGGAATGTTGGGCATCTCCTGATGGTGGGGCTTGGTGGGCTAAATTCTGGCTTGCCCTATCCAAGCACAGAGTTGGATCACGCAGCCCAAGTTTCGCAGCTTGGGCTGTTGGACTCCTAAAGTGGAGTGGATTGCTCGAGGCTGGTTTCACAGAGCAATGAATAGCTTCCCCTCCTTCCTTTGTAAGGATATAACGGGTCGATGTCCTTCAAGGCCAACAATTACCTGATGGGCTGCTCCAATTAAACCATCACTTTTTTTTTGCCAACCCCACTGCTCGTTTGACACGGGCATTTGCATCTATACCCGCTTTTGTGTCACGTTTTAACTTGTGCCCGCTTTACAATGAATATTGCAAGCGTACCTGCTTTTTCGCATAACTTCCGCATACGGGGCTGAAGTAGCAAAGACAATCACGCAAAACTTCAGCATTCTAGTAGCCGGACCTAAAGTTCAGCTCTAGAGCTGAAGTTTTTGTTTTGTAACTGTCGAACTAGAGCTGAAGTTTTTGTTTTGTAACTGTCGAGTTTTTGTTTGTAACTGGCTGAAGTTTTAGCCTATTTACACCATGAGTGTGATCCTCCTCTTGTTCATAGGTATTTGTTTCTTTCACTTTTGCGACTCTAACCAAAACATAAAAGGAAGAACATATAAAACCATTGCTCACGCTTACAATGGGAATCTGTGTTTCCTTCTAAGATTAGCTATAAAACAAAACAGAAAAGAAAATTTACTTGGGGAATATAATCAACCAGTTGAGTCCAAAACTGCAAATACTAAGTTTTTAAGTAGAAATTGTTTTTTATTAAAGGCCTGCTTGATCCAAAGCAATGAGTCATTAGCTAGTTGAAGATTGTCTTTTCCTTAGTGAGAAGCCGGGAACAAAATACCATAAGCAACAGACAAGTAAAAGAAACTTCCTTTCTTGAGATTGCCGTCTGTATTTATAAAAAAGTTTGATCAAGTCTTAATTATCATTTGTTAATAGAAGAACAAGAAGAAAACGAAGGAGGAGGAAAAAGGGGGTAAAGTTGTTTAAAAAGTGGGTACAAGTTATTTGTTTCTTTCACTTTTGCGACTCTAACCAAAACATAAAAGGAAGAACATATAAAACCATTGCTCACGCTTACAATGGGAATCTGTGTTTCCTTCTAAGATTAGNAAGTGTGATCCTCCTCTTGTTCATAGGTATTTGTTTCTTTCACTTTTGCGACTCTAACCAAAACATAAAAGGAAGAACATATAAAACCATTGCTCACGCTTACAATGGGAATCTGTGTTTCCTTCTAAGATTAGCTATAAAACAAAACAGAAAAGAAAATTTACTTAGGGAATATAATCAACCAGTTGAGTCCAAAACTGCAAATACTAAGTTTTTAAGTAGAAATTGTTTTTTATTAAAGGCCTGCTTGATCCAAAGCAATGAGTCATTAGCTAGTTGAAGATTGTCTTTTCCTTAGTGAGAAGCCGGGAACAAAATACCATAAGCAACAGACAAGTAAAAGAAACTTCCTTTCTTGAGATTGCCGTCTGTATTTATAAAAAAGTTTGATCAAGTCTTAATTATCATTTGTTAATAGAAGAACAAGAAGAAAACGAAGGAGGAGGAAAAAGGGGGTAAAGTTGTTTAAAAAGTGGGTACAAGTTATTTGTTTCTTTCACTTTTGCGACTCTAACCAAAACATAAAAGGAAGAACATATAAAACCATTGCTCACGCTTACAATGGGAATCTGTGTTTCCTTCTAAGATTAGCTATAAAACAAAACAGAAAAGAAAATTTACTTAGGGAATATAATCAACCAGTTGAGTCCAAAACTGCAAATACTAAGTTTTTAAGTAGAAATTGTTTTTTATTAAAGGCCTGCTTGATCCAAAGCAATGAGTCATTAGCTAGTTGAAGATTGTCTTTTCCTTAGTGAGAAGCCGGGAACAAAATACCATAAGCAACAGACAAGTAAAAGAAACTTCCTTTCTTGAGATTGCCGTCTGTATTTATAAAAAAGCTTGACCAAGTCTTAATTTTCAGTTGTTAATAGAAGAACAAGAAGAAAACGAAGGAAGAGGAAAAAGGGGCTGAAGTTGTTTAAAAAGTGGGTACAAGTTAAAAGTTTTAAAAAAAATGGGTATAGGTTAAATGGGGGCGACCAAATAGGGCGCCCCGTGCAATTTCTACGAGTAATTAGGGGTAATTAATTATTTCCCAACCGACCCATTATTGTTTTCTGATGGTCGTCTAATATTAGTGTGATTCTTTAGGTTCGGCCTTTCAGATTTAAACATCGCTGGCAGTGATTTAAATTTTTTTAATACTATAGAAATAGCATGAAATTTAATTTTAAATGTATGAATTTATTCTAGAATAATGTACTTTTATTGAAGAGGTTGACAACATTCTCGCATATCCTAAAGTATGTCATATAAATTGAGATGAAGTAATATTACTTCCCAACCTAGTTAGATCCTTGACATGTTATCTTAAATCGCATGTTAGAAATCAATAAATTTCTATCTAATATCATGCATTATTCTATTAATTTATTTATACCCTATTCACTAATTACTTTAAACTAACATGAACCACCAAGCTTTAGAAACGGAAAATGATAAAACAATTGATTAAAGCATAAATGATTGTTAACTCTGGCAAAGTTATGTAGGTCAAGTAAAATATTGAATGCTTTTTAAGGGTTCTTAGAAGTATTCATAATATGATCACTATAACTTAAATATAAATTCTTCAATGAAGAGAAATATAAAAAGGGAAACTTCAAACAATAAAATAAAAAACTGTTCAATTTTATTCTATAGATATCCTTTACCCTGTGTTCAATCTTTTGTGCAATATTAAGCTGCCAATATACTATAGCAACTTAGTTCATGAAGCCAAGAATGGGAAAATGGAAATCAACAACCTTAACAATAGGGGTGTATCGCTTTTCGCTTTTTGGTTACTTAACTTGCCCTTTTCCACAGGTATCTTTGATGTTCCAATTGATGATTGAGCTGAATTTACAAATGAACCAGTGCTAGTAGACTCACTTACTTGATCAAGTTCATCCCATCCTCCGTATCTAGATACCTCGGGCTCATCCTTATTAGCTGAGACGCCATTTGTGGACGCCCATGTTTGATAACTTGGCTTTCTCCTTCGTGTCTTGGGGCTTCCTCCTCTTCTCCCAAAGTTTGTCTTGTTTGAGGTGGAAACACGCTGCCTCTTCTTAGTTTTACTCTTGCGCCTTGGTTTGTTTTGTGTCGTATCCAGCATCTTTTGGATTGCAAAAGAAAATGTGGATTGTCCAAGGGGAATGGCTAATGCCATAAGAAAAGCTTTAGGACCTCCTGTTATCAACAAGGCTATTAGAATTGGCGGAAGCGCCCAACCATAGGACCAGAAAACCTGCACTGCCAAAGAATGCTAATTTGTAAGTTATTTGACAAAAATATATCTGTCTAAGTTCCATTTTCTGTCGGAGAACATTTTAGCAAGAGTAGTTATTGTCAAATGGAGTTTGTCTAATGACACTTGAACATGTGGCTCTCATTCTTTCTGTTGAGCACCAATGTTTTTAGAATGCGGAAATGAAGACTAGCCTTAGCAAAGAATTTGACGTCCGTGTGGGATTGAAAATGTAAGAGGTGAGCTTCTGCACCGCTTTATGATGATGCCCAGTAAATGGCATGACAAGTAAATACGTACTATTTAAAATCCAACATGCTTTAGAGAATAATCAAGCAATACATTTCCAGATCTCTTCTTTCTTCTCTTTTCATAGTATTTATCCGAACTACCGCTGATGGAAGCAGCAAGATATGCAAAAGAAAAGCAGATGTGATCTGTTTGTGAGCTTGGGAAATTTCCTTGATTCCACGGGGCTTTAGGTAAAGATTATTCACGCGTTCATATATTAGCAAACCATTTTGCAGTTGATTTTTATTCAGAAAACATCAGATTTGGCAGTTGAACAAAGTGAAAAGGTACAACTAATCAAACAAGAACATTGGAAGAAAGAAACAAGAAAAACTTTCTGAAGTCAAAGAGCCTTTCTAGTCTGAAGCCTTAACCCTGGTATTAGAACTGTGGTTAGATTAACGCATAAGATATCCATTAAGAAAGGATTTCACGAAGCATAATTAGATGCACAGCGGATATTACTTCAATGCTGAAGGATGAACTAGTATCACACTTTGACCCTGGTTCAGAGCTAAACTAAATACAGATAGGCCTTGAGTCTTGATAATTCTCTTTTGTCCTCAAATTTCATTCTCAACCAATTCCTCTTGACAAGCATTATCATGACCACCTATGCAAAAGACTGGTTGTAGAGATCCTAAGAGTTTTAGCAAAGAATTCTGATGTACATAGAGAGTTTTAACACATAAGCGGTGAGCTTCCGCACCATTGTGTTTGAGGATCAGTGTATTCCATGAGAAGTGACATCGTACTCTACTCCTTTCAAGATATTTTATGTGATATAATCTTCTTAGGCACAAAAGGAAGAGCTAACATGACCTACATTGTGTTTATTGTGGGAATTTATTTTCAAAGGATTCAACTATTGCAGTTGAAATATGTGTAGAATATGCAAATGGTCTAAGTCTGTCAACAGGGGCGGATGTAGAGTTTGGCCGCCTGGTTCATCTGAACCCAGTACTTTCGAAGCGGAGCATAAATATATGTGTAAAAGTTCATTAAAATTGCAACAAATGGTAGGTCTGAACCCATAACTTTAAAAATACAATTGATTCAATGCTAAAAACCTTACAAGTTGAACCCATAGAATCTAAATCCTAGATCTGCCACTGCTGACAAGGATTTTCAATGTTTAATAATGAAATCTTGGAATGTTGTCAATTCTTATACAGCTTCTTCAAATATTGTGGAGAAGATAGAAAATTATTTGGAATAATCTAGCTATCAGCTCAAGATTGTCTTCCTAGTAACCACAACCCTTCACTAATTTAGTATTATGTACTACAACAATTTTTAACTCAAGAACACAACTTATGCATTTCAACTAAATTAAAAGCCAAGTTTATGACTCTAAAAACAAAAATCAATCAGCATTATCCAAGGCATCATTTTACACTAGCATCTGAATTCATTTATACAAAAAACAGTCATTCATAATGTAGCTGATTAGCTCAACCAACAGTATTCTTCTTTGTCCTTCAATTCAAATTAAAGCACCAAAAAGTGCCAAAACTCCATATCCATCCCAAAAAGATCCAAACTGTAAGCAGAAAATCTAAAATTCAAGTGCCCAAAATGCATAAAGGAGGGGAAAAAAAGGAACAAACTTTACAGCAAAGAAATGAAATTCAAGCTTATAGCATGGAATTCTAGCTGAAGAATAAAAGGGAGAAGCAGTAAAAATGGTACCTTAAAAATCCAAATACAATCAATATATTCCTGTAAAACTTGAGCTCCTTGGTCTAAGATTTCATCCCCATAAAACTCCTCCTCTTCCTCATCTTCAAAATCCCAAACTTTAATAAAATTCTGGTTCTTGATAGACTCAGCATTTGAGTCCCACTTGCTAGACTTGCAGAGGTGAAGAGGCTGAGAAAGAATATGAGTAGAGAGTGAATTTGTAGCAGTGAGTTTATTTAAAGAATTGGTTTTTTGAGGGAAGAAAAGAAGGAGAGAATGGTTGTTGGGGTTTGAGGGTTGAGAGGTTAGTAGGTGAAGAAGAAGAAGACCACTACTCTTAGCGGTTTTCATTGACGATAGCTTTTCCATTGGCCATCCTTGCCCAGTGAACATTATCCAGAAATATACAGTAGATAACTTTTCTGTTTCAATTAGGGGAAAAAATGAATAATAAAAGATAAGAAGTTTTACAATTTACATGTAGAATATAGCTTTTTCAAAAGATTCAATTACTTTAATTAGTAGTCTCAAAGGCCAAAGCATGTACATATTGAAATACAAGAATATTTTGGTTAGCGTATGAATTTCAGTAGAAACAATATTACGCACAAATAATACAATATTATAATTTTACTCTCTGTATCAGTATGACTTATGGCATGACATTTCATTTTATACATACTAGGCAGAATGTCTAAAAGTGGAATAAGAATATTTGAAACTTTGTGGTTGCAAATACGTCATGTTATTTTTTTTTTTGCGGGTAAAAATATATATTATTAAGAATAAAATAAAAATTTAAGATAAATTATCTTTAAATATAAAAATATATTTTATTTACTAGTTTTAGAACAAAAAGAATAAAAATAACATGAACATAGAGAGTACCAATTATTGTATAGCCTTCAATTAGTATTTTAATCAAGAATCATTAAATCTTGTCGTTTTAACTCCAAAACTTGTACTCGCTTCTTTGTGTGATACAATTACTATTTGAAGAGTAAAAAGAATTTTCATTTAGCGTGATTTTTTATAAATATTTTAAAATTATTATTCTTTTATATATTTTTGGAATACATAAATTTCACTCACATTTTTTTAAGATTTTACATTTAAAAAAATAATTAATCATCATACTCCAAATTATGTCACATAAAGTGGGACACAGAGTAATTCTTTGGGGGATAATTTTGCCTAATAAAGTAACTATATTTTCCTGTACTATTTCGTCCTCTTTTTTCCTTTTTTGGTCTCCGGAAAAAAAAACGTGGAGTCGGTCCATTCTTGACCCGATTTAAATCGACCCGATTCTCCAAGTATAAATAGCTGCCCCTATCGTTCTGTAATCTCTCGAAGGTTCCAATATTTCCGGCGATTCACAGAGCATGTACAAAGGGAGAATTCCGGGAAGAAGTTTCCGGCGACGATGAAGCCAATGACGGTGGATTATCTGGCGGACCTAGAGGATCAAGGATCAACAATGACGATGGACATTGATGACGTGGATGCTCTCGAGATTTTCGGTGAAGGTCCTTTATTAGGTTCCGATCACCTCCGTCTCGCTGACGCTGATTTCTTCAATTCCTTTCAAGATGACTTTGATGATTCTGACATCAACTGAAAATTTGAATTTTCGGTACTTTCCTAGGGATAAATCACTAGTTTCACCGTAGTTAATAACCGTTCGTTTGTAGTTAAGTTTCTGGAGGAAAAAAATTTAACCATAAATATCGAGGAAATATGAGTATGTTTATATGCTTATTGATGATTAGCTTTTGAATGCTTTGTTGATTTCTGATTCATTGATTAGAATTGGTGAAGTAATGATGGAAAATATGAACGTTTATTTGGTTATTGTATGTTCGTTGATTATCATTTTTGATTAAAATTACTGAGCTTGGGCTTTGCCATCTTATGATTTTATAAAATTGTGAAGCTGAATTAGTAATGGCGCATTTTAGTTAATTTTCTGAGAATTAACTCATAGATGTTGCCATTATGGGTGGAATATCATGTTTATTGAAGTTTTATAACTATGTAGTAGGTACCCGGTGCAATAGTTATACTAACATTGTGAAAGAACTTTTATGCTAACGCTGACACGGGTAATAAGCAATTGATAATAAGGAGTTGATGTATTTGGCAAATAGTTATAAATTTGGGGTGATCAACTTATGATTTCTAGCTAATTTTGAATTATTAGCATTTAATTATAAGCACTTTGAGTGTTTGCGTTAAAATTATACTTATAAACCAGATTAGCTTAATTGGCCATAGGTTTTTAGAATTGGAATTTATGGTACTATGTAATTGTTAATGCGTGGCTGTTGGCTGAAGTCGCCATTCTACGAGCTACTGTTCGAATTGAACATTGTCCATGCTAGTTAATGGCAAATTGAGTTTCACCTTTCATTGTTTTCAATCCTAAAACTTAAGCTACTTATCTTTTTTCATTGTGTTCTTTTCTTGGATTATTTCGCCATCTAAGTTTAATACGGAAACCCCACGATCTCTTCTATTGAAGCCTTAGCAGTTCACTCGTGAAAGGAAGCATAACGATAGCCATCAATGAATTGTGATTCATAACTTTAATTAATGAGTTTTAAGTATTCAACTTAATAGAATTTCATTTATAGTAAAAAGATGATAAATACACAACACATTTTATCACAAAGAACAACTCTATGCGACCATGCGAACTTCGCCCATCTCAGGACACTAGCCCGCAAATACCAAAGACGCAATCAAGATACAAAAGAGAGGAATGTTTTTTCTTTTCTTTTTCTGTCAATGAGTTTGAAAAAACTGTTTTCTTTTTCTTTCACCCCATACGTCTGCAAAAATAAAATGGAAAAGGGCCAAATATACCCCTTATACTATGAGAAAAGATTTAAATATACTCCTCGTTATACATTCAGTCCAAATATACTCCTGCCGTTATACTATTAGTTTAAATATATCCCCCATCCGTTAAGATTGTCCAAGGTGAACAATCAATCATATATGACACTAACATTTAATGAGGTGGATGTCACGTGGCATGTCACCTCAGCGCCCTCTCAATTTGTTCTTCGACCACTAAAATTTCCTCCCCACCACCTAGAAAAATAGTCAAGGCTAATACTTGAGTTTCTCCCGCTGGCTTCTCATAACTCCGATACTCCTGATGTTGCAAACACGCACTATTGAATTGTCGTTTTTAATACTATACACTTATGTTTTCTACTCAAAAAAAAAAAAAAAAAAAAATAGCAGCTAACATTTAACATAAGCTTGAGGTCAAGTGGGTTCATTTTGTTGTACACATAAAATGCTTAATTTTTAAGCTTAAATTCTATGCATTGACAAATTAAAAATATTTATACAATCACAACACTTAAAAACGTAATTGCAGGTAACTTTATAAATCTCTTCTATCATCTTAGTCTTATGTTACAAGGAGACTCAGAGTGTATATTGCTCGACAGAAAAATGAAGATGCAGAAGATGAATTTTACTCTTTGGTTACAGTTGCTGGGATCCCATCAGATGGATTGAAGGGGCTCTTCACTAGGGGTGTACATGAGTCATTTTGGTTCGGGTTTTTTTAGTGGAAGAACAAATAGAAGGAAGGGGTAAAATGAATTAGGGGTACTGAGGTGGCATGCCACGTGACATCCACCTCATCAAATGTTAGTGTCATATATGGTTGAATGTTCACCTTGGACAACCTTATCGGATGAGGGATATATTTAAACTAATAGTATAATGGCAGGGGTATATTTGAACTGAGAGTATAACGAGGGGTATATTTAAATCTTTTCTCATACTGCAGGAGAATATTTGAACCTTCTCCGAAAATAAAAACCATTTGAAGGAAATTATAAAAAGCTGAAGACATATAAACACTTAAATGTTTGTGACAGACATTTTCTTCTTTTCCTTTTCTTCTCTTGCCCCCTTCACTGGAAAGAAAATCAACTACTCTAATCCAATTTCTGATGTACATTTGAAGCCATATACCAATATAACGAACTATCAACTTGCAGAAACAGCAAACTTCTTCACCCCTCCCAACTTTCCGACAACAGTTCCTCTATCAAAAGTTAGTATTTTCTCTAAACATAGAGAACCACAGCCCTCCTGAAGCCACCTTCGTAGTTTAAGCACAACGTTTTTTGCACTCCCACGTAGTACGAAAAAGATCAGTCAGTCTGTAAAGGCTAGTGTTAAAACACAACCAAAAGTATAAACCCTCTCTTGCCACCATCAGCAACACATTCAACTAACTATACAGTCACCATCAGCAACACATTCAACTTTGCAGCCACCAGTCATTGTCGTGATACGTATATTTTCATGACACCCTGAATTAGTATGTGTTAGACAAGAAATGAAATTTTTCGGAGGAACACCAGACAAACAAAATCAAGAGGCATAATTCTACTCACTCATGACTAATGGTTTGACAGTGAGGATTAAAAATGACAGAATACGACTCATGAATGAAATTAAAGAAATGAAGAATGTAATGACATGCGACCTGTGGCATTTAAAGCAAGTTACCCAGGTGAAGTGACTTCCATCAATTTGATACTCTCCACATTTCCTTTTTGTTGGTTTTCTATTATGGCTAGTCATTTCGACAAGTTTTTGGCTTAAATCAAACATAGATTGATTCATGTTTTGTAGATAAAATATACACAAAAATGTACTACATAATAGTTGTGTTTCCTCATATGAAAACGATTTAGAGAATATATCCAAAATATTAGTTAACGGCATATCTTTGTCTACCAGAAAGCAAAATGACAACTACTGTGTGACAAATCTAATATTTATGCAAAGGGATGGAAGTATTTGTAAACACCTCCAATGGTACAACCAATAAGAAGCTCACATCGAAAATCAGTTTAAGAAGCGGGTAATAAAGATTCTTTCCAGTCGCACGGACAGAAACATGGAAAAGAAAATATGTCAACATTCACAGAAACATGGAAAAGAAAATAGATAGTTACCAAGTTTTACAATTATGACCATCTGCTATCTTCACAAGTTTCTAGCCTTCTAAAGCATATGTTGGGACCTGCATTACATTTGCAACATATTGATGTCAGCAACAGAAATAATAAATATCCCACACCAAAACATCAGTCACTGACAATTTTTTGTTCAAGATCATAGTTCTAGGTTACGAGAAAGTATGCACATATACATGATGATTGCGGTTTTGGTTCCCAAAGCTGCAACCACATTGAAGAGACGGAAGTGGTACTTGACAAGTAACTAGTTTCCATATCCTTATTCTCCATTTTTTCTCCCCTTCATTCATATGAAGCTAGCTCAACTTCTGGGATACTGTCTTCTCTTGTTGTTGTATTTACTCTCTGTTACCTTTAATGGTTGTTTTTTTAATCAATAGTTACCTTTAATGGTTGTTATAAGTTACATTGATTGATCATTTTTTAAAGGCGTCTTTTTACCAGTGTTCTGACTTACGAATTCTGCATTTAACCAAGTTTAGAAGAAATATCAGGTCAACTCTATAGATAGCAGAAGAGATTGTGGATGAACATTTTATTCACTGTCGACAGTACAATGTTTGTTTTTCTTTTTTCCCCTGAGTGTAATGTTAATGTCACTAAATTACAACTTCAAAAGGAACAAAATCAACCATGTCCAACTCCTAAATGGATTTGACTACATGAATCCGCTATACGATTTGCTCCCTTTTTTTTTGGGGGGGGGGGAGGGGGGGGGGGGTTCGCTATATCACAATTCATTCTCGAGCATAGTTGTTCACGAAAGGTGGCATGGGACATCTGTCAGCGGCGGGGGGAGGGGGGTGAGAACGTCATTCTCTACACCGTTCTGCTCTGATTAGGTCCATTTCCTTCAAAAATGCTAATTAATTTGCCTTTTTGCAACTAGTCAGTACTGCCTTACTGATCATTTGCTTCAATTGTGTTCTGTTCTTAGCTGCTGAGTTTTTTAGATTGCCCCAAAGAGGAACATTTAAACCCTTAAAAAACTACACCGAGCCTTCTTCTACTTTCACAAAGAGACTTAATCTAATCTACATTACGAGAAGGGAGCCTATAATATCAAATTCTCCCGATGCACACACCCCCCCCCCCCAAAAAAACGGAGAACAATTGGTACAGATGGATTTAGTTGCAGCTTTTACTTAAGTCATCATCAATAACCTTCCAACCAGAATAAGATAACTTTGAATTCAGGCACTACCTCTAGCATGTCTTCATCAGGAAAACAGGATACTGTATGGTCCAAACCATTTGATTTATCAAATTGGAGGATCCTCAATTTTCCTTCCTGCAATTTAAGCAGAAAAAAAAGATGAAATACTTTTGAGAAGAGAAACAGTTTCATAGTTGAAACCAAGAAACAAGAAACTCATATGATGTTTGCATGTTCACCTTGGTTCCATAGACTAGGCCACCACCAACCAAAGGATGGAAACAAGCAACGTTAACCTCATCCTCTGCACTGGGAAGAACTCTCACAAGTTCCATATCCGAAACTCTGTAGACCTGATTCAAGACACACATGTGAACTAACTAGAGACAACAAAAATAAACACCGACATTGTGAACAAGACAAATTGATTCTTATATCAGGTTCGGTCAGACATTCTCGGTAAAATGTGAGCAGGAGCATAATTCTTCCTTTTTAAGTTTTGCGCAGTCCAAAAACAATGTGCATCTCCATAACAGAACAAACTTTCACGACATACTAGCAAGCCAATTAAAACTGGTGTGTGTCCTAACACATCGTTATTTCACTTGCATATCAAGCCCATATTAGCTCCAGTTCATCTAGCCCATCTCCACCAACATAAGTACAGCCTGAAGAACCTAAAACCATGAGTT